GATAAAATGAACCAGAAAACATAAGATATAATAGATACGCAGCAGCGAACCGAACGAAGAGGCTGCCGGAGCAAGTTCGGAAATAAGAGAACAGCAAGGTGGCACAGGTGCGGGGCGGGGCTGGCGGGGAGTGCCAGGGAAAGACCAGGCTGAACGGAGATGGACTGAGAAAGAAAGACTGGAGAGAGAGACAGAGAATAGAAAAGGAGGAGAGAGTGTGATCCGAGAGGCCGGGCTAGGCTGATCGAGCAAGAAAATTCAAGTTCGTGGCGAGAAAGGAGGCGGGGTAGGAGTGAGGAAGAAGCGGGCCGAGGGGTCTGGTGCCGGAGAGAGATGGATGTTGGTGTGGTGGAAGAGGAACGGTATGAAGCGGAGCCAGATAGGATGACGGAAAGAGGGCGAGGAAGAATGGAGCGAGGAGCTAGAAGGTGAAGGCAGAAGTGAGAAGCAAGTTTTTGTCCGTGATGGGAAGTAGGGTAAGAACGGAACGGCTTAGGAAATGTAACTGTGATGTGTGGATGCGGAAGAGGCAAGGGAGGAAGAGGCAAACGGAGATCAAAGGAGCGGAGTGGGCCGGAGCCGAGTTGAGAGGGTTGGGCTGGAAGAGCAGAGGCAAGCAAGGGCGAAGAGGAGCGAGACCCAGAATGCCTGGGGCGGGTAGGAGCAGAGAGATGACGAAAGAAAAGGCAGGAAGAACGACGCGTAGTGAAGTGGGACGAGGAAAGGCGGCGGGACGGAAGAGCGAGGCGGGACGGAGCGAGCGCGACGGAGCGGAGCAAGGCAGACGGAGCGAGGCGGACGGAGCGAGGCGGACGGCAGCGAGGACGGGACGGAAGCGAGGCGGGACGAGCGAGGCGGACGGAGCGAGGCGGACCGGCAGCGAGGCGGGACGGAGCGGAGGCGGGACGGAGCGGGCGGGACGGAGCCGGCGGAGCGAGCGAGGCGGGACGGAGCCGGAGGCGGGACGGAGCGAGGCGGGACGGACGAAACGAGACGGAGGAAGCAGAAGACAGGAGACAGAGCGAGGCGGACGGAGCAGGCGGACGGACGACGGAGGACGGAGACGAGGACGGCGGACGAGCGAGGCGGGACGGAGCGAGGCGGGACGGAGCGAGCGGGACGAGCGAGCGGACGGAGCGAGCGGCGACGGACGGAGCGAGGCGGGACGAAGCGAGGCGGGACGAAGCGAGGCGGACGAAGCGAGGCCCGGGACGGAGCGAGGCGGGACGGAGCGAGGCGGGACGGAGCGAGGCGGGACGGAGCGAGGCGGACGGAGCGAGGCGGGACGGAGACGAGAGCGAGGCGGAGCGAGGCGGACGTAGAGCGGACGGAGCGAGCGGGACGGAGCGACGGACGGAGCGAGCGGACGGAGCGAGGCGGACGGAGCGAG